TGGAATTGTCTCGAATATCGATATGTGGTGTGCATTTCCCGTGATGTGCTTGATATAATGTGATTAATTTTATTCATGAATTCGCGAGTGTGCTGCTTGTTTGCCGGCTTTATGGATGCGTTTTCAATCTGCCAGAGCGCATTGAATCACGAACGTGTACGCTGAAATTACAACAACGACGATCGGTTAATGGCTGTGTCCCTGCCAGACACAGCGGCCATGCCTCCCGTGGTGTAATGTTTGTTTTGTGTAATGCAAAATTACACATTGTTTACACGTACAGATTAAGCTTATGTGTGTGGGTGCATGCTGGGTTGCATAATGTACTATAATATTACACAACAAACCATAACCTAACATATTAACTATACTGGACTGACGAGAATTTTGATTATATATATTTTATGGATATATAAATGTTTTGTTTGTGTATTGTGGTGCATAAATATAGGAAATATAAAGTTTTTAATGACCTATTGTGTAAATTTTGATTTAGTACAATGAATTTATGTATATGCATTGTATATGTATGTTTGGTTGCACACTATACCATGGTATTATGCAATGAACCATAACCTAATAGTTTAACTATTATTCACTAACTAAAATTTTGATTATTTGCATTTATTGTTGTTTTTTATTGATTATAACTTTTGTTTTTGTTTTTATGTGTGTTGGGTTGCATATAGAAACAAAATATAACATTTCTAACCAACTATAGTACAAATTATAATCATCTTCAATGAATATCATACACAATAAGCTTATTTGTATGTTGGGTTGCATATTATACTATAACATTACACAACAAACCATAACCTAACATATTAACTATCCTGGACTGACGAGAATTTTGATTATATATATTTTATGGTTATATAAATGTTTTGGGTGCGTATTGTAGTGCATAAATGTAGAAAACATAAAGTTTTTAATTACCTATTGTGTAAATTTTGATTTAGTACAATGAATTTATGTATATGCATTGTATATGTATGTTTGGTTGCATACTATACCATGGTATTATGCAATGAACTATAACCTAACTTACTAACTAAAATTTTGATTATTTGCATTTATTGTGTTTTTTTGTTGATTTTAATCCTTGTTTGTGTTTTTATGTGTGTTTGGTTGCATACATAAACAAAATATAACATTTCTAACCAACTATAATACGAATTAAAATCATCTTCAATGAATATCATACACAATAAGCTTATTTGTATGTTGAGTTGCATATTATATTCTAACATTACACAACAAAACATAACCCAACATATTAACTATCCTGCACTAATTACAACTGTGTTTATATACATTTAATGCTTCTCTATGTGTGTTGGGTTGCATACATGTAACAAAACTTAACCTTTTTAACCAACTACCACGTAAATTTTGTTCCCACTCAATGAATGTTATCTACTCTTAACACTTTTACTTCAAATCCACTTTTTGTTTCATGCTCCTGTTAGTCTTGTTAATCTCTCGACGTAACTAGCGGGCAAAAGACTACATGATGGCGCACATATGCATATATTATATGTGAGGCGTAGGCAAACGTGTTTCATGCTCAACGCGCCCTGATAGACCTTGAAGGTTGGAACATGCGGCAAAAAGCCCGCTGGGTTCGTGCAGGATTTGTTCTGGTACGAGAATATTATGCGACGAAGGGATGAACGGATAGGCGGCGTCGCCTGAATACACAAATACAAAACTGAGCGGACGCACAATGCCGTCATGTTCGTTTTACGCCCAAAGCCAAAAATCGCGAAATTTTCACTCAAAGTCGACGCCAAGCAGCAAAGCAGGCATGCAAGTGCTTAGTGAGGAAATTGATAATGAGTTTATGAAGACAATGATTGTACTTTGTGGTTATGTTATTAAATTTTCATCTGAAATTAGGTTAGAGGTATTTATAGGTTAGGGAACGCAGTAAGTCCTAATCTAGTCGAGCGTAATTCACTGTGGATGAATTTTTGATGATAATGTATTGCAAGAGGGTTGGGAAAAGGATTTTAAGCGTGAAATTCACCGAAATATTGGTATTTGCTATCAGGTGTGAGGAAAAAGAAAGTGTTTTTCGGCGGAGTATTCAAAAGCGCTTCTGAAATTATGCCGGCTCTCACGTTATCAGCCATAAAGAAAGTATAAAGAGTAAAAAGCAACCAACGCGTTTCCATTAGTGCCGCCGAGACGAGTGCGCGGACGCCACTTCGACAACGACGTCGCGACGCTCATACTGCTGTCATTGACTTTCTACTTGCTACTTCGTAGAACGCATTTCCAACGTCTTTTTTCTTCTCCTCTCCTCGTACATACGTGATTTACGCCGAACACAAATGCTTTGCAATCAACCGAAACGAGTATGAACTATATTCGTACAATACGTCTACTGAGTTTTCAGAAAATTTTCGATGGAAATATAATTTGATTGGGATTATTTTATTTTTTTTCGAAAAATAAATGTTTGTGTTGAATTGGCGTGAGTTTGACACGTTGGTGGCGATTGAGATTTGTGATGCTTTCCACTATTCCAGCTGTGAAATGACGGTGCTGATGGCTTGCGTGTGAGAAAATGGAAAAAAGACTCAACGAGCGTACACTGCGATGCAATTTGCGACAACGATCGGGAAAGACATTGATTTTCGTTTGTCTGGCTATCAACAACAGGGGTGCAATGACAGGAAGAATGGTTATTTGAACAAGAAAAACTCAAATGGCTTTTCAAATCTCAGAATAAATCTAAAAATAGAAATTCACCAAATATATTCCTATAATATTGGTTGCCTACATTGATTTATTATGTATTATATGTAATATTGGTTGCCTACGTTAATTCATTATATATTAATTAATATGTTTGGTTATGTTAGTTGTGAACAAAGTTTCCTGTGTGGTTTATCGATGTAATTATAGAATGTTTGCGAATTAGTTTGAAACTGTTCGAAAAATCAGTTTGTTAGTAACATCGCATCATAGCAACACAGCAACATTGTGTTATTCTACTCTATTCATAGAATTACTCTGCTCGGCGCATGGTAGGCCACTGAAAGCACGTAATCATTTTTAAAGTGGAAGTACAATAGAATCGGGATATAACAATGGCGTTTGACCTGTGGGGCGCAAAAACACCGCGGATAATTCACGTCAACGTCGTTTTTAACATTCATTGCGACATGATGAAAACAAAATTTATCATTCCGTGTTTTTACGCGGAAATATGCAACCGATATTACCAATTTAAATGAAAGTGTACATTTGGTTGCGGAATTGAATTGTGTTGCACGACGTGATATTCAAACAATATTTCATTGCGATTCAAACACCTGGGGCGTAATTAATTCACTTCGTTTGCGGAATTGGATTTGAATTTTTTGAATTCCGCAAATTCCTCAATTAATATCATTTTATTACGATGTTTCTGATCAAAACATAATTCTTATCTTGTGATTTTCCTGTTATAGCACAAAATTAAATTTAGTATCTATATATTTATAGCACCCACATGGGATATTAATAAATTGTCGGTATATGTAATATGTTACAATCTGTTTTCATCTGAAAATTAAGTTTTATTGCTTCGAACATAAATCTCTCTTCAACTAGTTGCGCTTTATAACATCCTACGCCAAGCACAAAATAAACTCTTTAATGAAAATACTATTTTTTTGTTTTTTTTTGTTTCTTTTTCTTTTGTTTTGTTTAATGCTTAATCTTTTGACTTTCGGAATGTTTTACGCTGTTCTACGTTTAGATTTTCGGTCTTTGACGGAGGTAATAAAAGTCACTTCGGTGCGAATTAATTAGAATTACAGACGTGCCACGCTCGGCGGAGTGCGATTAAGTGGCTTTGGGCTAACGTCGCATGATTAAAACCCGCCCCGCTTTCTGAGACGGTCGGCGTCGATGTTTGAATGGCGTAATCGGGGCTAATCAAAGAAATGGATGAATTTTAGTCGCACAAAGCGGGTCGCCTAATTCTATACGATTGGTTAATTCGTTTCATTTAAGTGACAAAAACTTTTTACATTTTTCAACCCATTATGCAACATTCAAGTTTAAATTCAGTAAAAACGCATTTAATATTATAAACACAAGAGTTTTAGAGAATAAGTGTATGTTTGTTACTGTTTCACAGCTATACCACTTGGAAATTTTTAATAAAGTTTGGAATAAACAAAGATATGACCTTGAAAAATAACATAGACTACTTTTTTGCAATAAAATAAAAAATTTAAAACCATAAAACCGGATTTTAAAGTAAAATGACATTAATTCTAGTTTTTATCCTAAAATGCACACCTAGATGGCGCTGCATAATATTTATATGCATAATATTAATTTCTCACCATTATTAAATAGTTTAATAACTGGTTGAGTGTACAATTCGTTAGTTTTGATGTTTTGAGCTTTGATCTAGTTGTATTTGACGCGCTGAAGTTGTTAATGATGTAGCTAATCTGTTTTGAGGGCTTAACATCCGAGAAACCGGACGTAGAGCGATAATTGCGTTATATCCATTTTACAACTTGAGTGTTATTCACTAGAATCACCTCTCTGACTGTAGCTTCCGTGGAGATTATATTTATTCTATACGTTGGTGTGTATCTGGTTGCCGGAGAGGAAAATAATCCCGGCTGATTGTGACAGCATTCGATAGCCGATTCATGATTGGAATCATGATGCTGGAAATGAATGTTTTTGGCGTCGATACAAATATACACAGTGTTTGCAGAAAATAATCAAAATTACCAAAAATTAAATATTTTGTGAACACCCTGTATAAATTAATCTTAATTCTTTATTAATTTAATTATTCTCTTACTTAATGTTCCCCCGAAGCGTTATTCATGTACAAAAAATTAGATTAAACTTTGAAGAAAATCCCCAAATAGCTTTTAAGTGCACGTCATGAAAAATCTGTCACTTGCAGTTGAAATTCACTTTGCAATCTCAAAATTGAATTTATACACCGATAATATTAAATTTCTGTGTTGCAGATAATCTAACAATGGAATCACGATGAAAACCCACACGCAAAACTAACCTCAATCCTCTGCCGCTTCTACGATTCAACATGGCTGACAACGTCACGTACACCTACTGTAATCTAACCCACTTCGCCAGCACATACAAAGGTCTACATGGATACCTTAGTGTTCTGGTGTGTATCTTCGGATCAGTCACAAACGTATTCAACATTTGCGTGTTGACGACCCGAGAGATGCGATGGCCGACGAATTTGATCCTCACCGGACTTGCCGTTACGGATTTGTTGGTTATGTTGGAATATATCCCATTCCTCAGTCATTATTACCTCGCACCTAATGCGAAACAAATGCAGAGTCACTACAGTTACTCCTGGGCGTTGTTCATGATCTTCCACGTGATGTTCACACAAATCTGTCATTTTATTTCGTGTTGCCTCACGGTGATACTCGCCATCTGGCGGTACATAGCGATATCAAAAGCGCATAATGACGCGTTACGACGTACAGTTACCAGTATCCCGCGTACACTCCTCACCATTTTCCTAACCTATCTTCTCTGTCCATTGATTTGTTTACCAGTGTTCATCACACACAATATAAAGATTCATAATAAATCAGTGCGTGACGATGGACAATTCATCTCGGATAAATCCTTGGAAAACACAACGGATTACCAACAAGTGCAGGTGTATACGATCTCAATCGAGGGAAATTTTCAAAGTGTTACGTTTTTCATGTATGGAGTTGTAATTAAACTAGTGCCGTGTATATTACTGACAATACTATCGATTAAAATCATCGGAGTGTTGATGGAGACTAAAAAACGAAGAAGATTGTTGTTTATTAATTGTGGGGTGCCATTGGTGTCGGTTGAGAATGACTGTGGGGGCGCTGGTGGTTGTGCAGGGAGTTTGACCAATACAAATTTACAGCAGAAACGACACATTGAGAAGGAGCATCAGACCGACCGGACAACACGGATGTTGCTAATAGTGTTATTGCTGTTTCTCATCACGGAGTTCCCGCAGGCCATCTTGGGATTAATGATTGTTATCTATGATGATCCTTTGTTTGCTAAACAATGCTACTATCCACTAGGTAATTATATTCGTTGAATTTATTTTTATGTGAGATATTAACCGAATTTTTGGAGTTTTGGAGTTTAATTGGGGTAAAAATTTAGTGTGGCTTTTGGTAATTAGGTGGCGCAGTTAAGAAAAGTCAAATTAAAAGTTTTCAAGATGAAAATTAGAGAAATTCATTAAAAGTTTGATGTTGTTAAAGTTAAATTTGGTTATTTTAGGTTAGGTTAGGTTATTTTAGGTTATGTTAGCTTATTATTTAAAACTTTAAACATCTTAAAACATTAAATTTAATTAAATGTCCAAAATAGACAATATTTGAGGTTAGATTTGAGTTTTGACAGAAATAGCTTTGAGGTTATGTAAGATAATAACCTGTATTAATGATTCTGCATGTTATGTATTGAGGTTAATCCCACAAGTATTATCTAGATATCTAGAACAATAGTTGGCTCTGGTAGTAAACAACTCGCGACCAAAACATGAATTTCCCGCTAACGAAGCATAACAAACGCTTACTCAGATGAATACGCTTCATTAGCCCCGCCGAACGCTCGCCACTCGCCACAAGAATGTCGCAGTTGTTTCAACGCCATTTCAATATATGAAAAAGTGGAAATTTCCAACTGGTGAAATATTACTACTGCGCTGAGCGTTCACGCGCAACCAAAGTGGAAATTAATCTCTGGTTGAGTCCCGCCATCCGTGACTAAGACGAATCGCCGTCCGCCATGCTGGAAACGAATTTTTCTTTCTCTCTGAGATTAAAAACGCGCGCAGCGGAAACGTTTACTGAAAAGAGTCCTGTCCGACGTTAACCTCTCTCCTCTCTTTACCCTCTAGCCTGTAGCCTGTACCTTTGGACGTTTAACCGGCACTTATTACCAGAGTCTGAGAGGTTTGCGTGTTTGCTGAAACTTTTACTACTAAGAGGTTAGTTTCGTTGTTCGGATGTTGTATTCCGGAGTCTCTCTTTGGATTTTGCGAGGAAAGTGTACAAGCGGTTTGTGTGGGCTTTTGTTTAATGCAGGCCCGATGGGGGTGGTGCCGACTTTCCGCCCTTTCGGCGTAAATATTTCACTTTATTGAACCCGAAGCACTCGAAATGGGTTTGGCCGTGCGCAAGATTCGGTAATGGAGCATCTTCGTCATCCTCTGCGCCTTGGGATGATTTAAACTGGTGCTAAATTGGCAAAATATTTAAATGCTGCGCGTCTAAGTCGATTAAAGTGCTTTCTCAGCGCGTACAAAAGCATCGGATGTAAACGTATAAGTTTTCCGGTTTTCTTCAGCAGGAAAAGACGAGTTTTAATGATGCGTGTGAATTCAATTATTTGAAATCGATACGAATTCAATTTAAACCGAAATAAGAAATAAATACGACTTAGGCAACTTATTTTACATTTTAGTGTATTATTGGTTGCCTACGATGAAAAATATGTTGAAAAGTGTAGAAAATCGATGATTTTAATTTAATTCCACACGTAAAGGACAAATTTAATTAAATTATTTACCAGGTGTGAGTTTTTAATGAATTTTTCAAAATAATATTCGCTGTTAATTAAAACGTTGAAGTTTTTAATACACGGCTAATAATTAAATCAAAATGGTGGCGCAGTTGCAAACTAGTTTACTAGAGTGTTTTACTTGTTAACACATTTCATTCATTATCATCAGATAAGAATTTAATTAACACACCGCTTCGAATTTTATCACACTGGAAACTGTCTCGAGTCATTTTCACACAACTGAATTGAATTAATTTAACTTCGTTGATTGATTCTTTAATTACCGCTTTATTCATCGATTTTTGTTTCGAATAAAACTTGAAATGAGGACTACTTTAGTTGACACACTAGATTAATTAAAAGATTGATGAAGATTTAATAATGAAACACGTCTGCGGGGATAATTAATCATGACAGTTATGAAATTATCATTTTTATTAATGGTCTACTAATTTTAACAATGACTTTTTTATTTATCATCTAAAGTACTCGAGATATTCTAAAATTTCAAAATGTTTATTAATAGTAGACCCATGTCAGACACACACGTAAATAATTGAATGCATTTATCATGGAGAAGATTAAAATGGACGATGTACGGGACCATTTGTAAAATGAGTTGCCTACATTTTGATTTCAACTTGGCGCAACAAAGTGGCTTGTTACAGCTGGAAATTGCTAGTTGGGAACAAATCACATGAGTTTAACATGGATTAATTGTAATTTATTGATGCGTTAACCGCTAACGAATCAATATGTATGTTCAATTAAATCATTCATTGTCCTCATAATTCTAGATTTGCAATTACTGCGCATTTAATGTGTGATTGCTGCGTAATCATAATGTGTAATCTCAAAATGGCAAACCAATATTGAATAATCAGCGTACTTACTTGTACTTGCTTCGTCTCGGTGAACTTTGTTTTAAATATGAAGCCCTGTAATGTAACGCTAAAAGTTTTGCAGTGCAGCGAAGTTTCTACCGCATGCAACTTGAACGTCGCCTTAAGTTCATGTACAATGAGCGACATCTGACGGATGTTGTTGAACTATATAGGTAATCTGTTGTGAACTAAAAAGTCGGCAACTTTATACACACAAAAATAAAATAAAACTGTAAATTCTCAAAATGTCACATGAATATCGTTAAAAATTAATTAAAAACATGTTATATGCTTGTGACAGTATTAAATACGTATGTTTATATTGTTTGGAGCGTTTGAATGCAATTTTTTCGAAATAAAAAGTTGTCAATTAACTTCCAGCGAAAAAACGCAGTTTAAACGCATTACAACTTTGTTTTTTCTCGCAAACTTTTTTAATTAACGCGCAACTTTGTAAATGGCACATGTTTACGCTGAAAAATATTAAATATAAACTGTTTGCAGGTGATTTAATGGACTTTCTGGCACTGACGAATTCAGCGATCAACTTTGTCCTCTACTGCTCGATGTCACGCCAGTTTCGGTCGGCGTTCGGCGAAATCTTCAAGCTGAAAGTGTGCGAGCCCTGCGTGCGGCTGCCGAACAACCCTCCCACGGAATTTAATAATGGCGGCACAACGCAAGTGACGCTCGTGTAATATCTACTCTTCTACTCGTGTTGAGATGGTGTTTAGTTTGCGTCCTGCTGGCACGCTGCCCACGGCGAACATTTTTCTACGCACAAAGGCGTTATCTTTTTTTTTTGTTCGCTAGGGAACAAAAAAAACACGAAAAACGTAAAAAATGGTTTTCACAGTGTTTATTTACTGTTGTAGGTTGAGTTAACGTAAATTACGATTGAGATTTATCAACATCACCATACTACACACTGAAGCAATTAAAATTATGCTCGTGAGCAAACTTTATCTATTAAAACTCTTCCTCAAGAACCAAACGAGCGAAAATATGAAATACTCATTTAGTATTCAACACTAATCTTGTGTTGGGAGTTATTTTCAACTTTTATTAGTTTAAAAGTGAAAACAAAAAGTCAAACAATTAAAAAAATAAGAAACATGTAAGATAATAGTGTTTAATACTAATAATATTAATAATATATAATTATTTTATAATAAAATGGTAATAATGTGTGCTAATAACACTAAAATGAAAATTGAAACGAAAAAATGTGATTTTTTACTTTTTACTGTTTAATTTCTACTTAAAACTTAAATATTTATGTACATAAACCATTTATAAGACTTGTTGATAAAATATTCAATATTAAACAAATACGTATATTGTATCAAATATTTATCGAAATCACTGAAGGTCGTTTAATGTGTTTTTAATGTTTTTTGTCTCCGCATTGTTGTAAACAGATTAAACGACCTTTCTATGACAAAAAAAACTATATAAAACATTGAAATATATAAAGAACATTACAGTAATCCTTAAAATTACATCCTTTGAGCCCGGATTATAATTTTAAGGATTATAAATGCTAAAAATGTAAAATTTATTTAAAAATATATAAAATGCGTATTGTATTGTATTGTAACATGTTTATTGTTATTTTTATGCGTGATAAATTAAAAGCAAGCTGTAAATTGATGATGATATATGAATTACATTTTTCAAATGCAAAAATAAATATTTTCTGATAATTTTTTGCTGATTTCGCATCGCCAGCGCCAGCTATGCATGAATTCTTGTACTGTTTCCATCGGATAAATCAAGATTTTCTTCGACCTTCACTTTTCTACTTTAATAATTAATTTAATTCATAAGAATCATGGATTAATCTTAATCTAAGTATATATTTTTCTTTGCTATCAGAATGTACGTAATTTACCAGTAAAATCATGTTTGTACATAATTCCATCCACTCGTAAAGTACGAGTATAAATAAACATATCAGGCATTTATAAGCCGTTGCGTGGCTTGCGGTGGTGCTAAAATATTTGTTATACTTTTTTTTTATCGCAAAAACATAAATTTCTATAAGCTTAATATCGTTATCGAGCGTAAAGCGCACGTTTCGTTGTGTAGCTTTTAATTTATACGTTACTCTAGGCCACATGCCGCACACGGTGCGAAAATGTCGGTGAATAAATTTTCGACATTTTTCCGAGCACGTTCGGACGCATAATGAAGAAAATGTTAATCAACGCCTTTGATTAAGTTTACGGAAAAGCGAAAGTGGCAGGCATTGACGAGTTTCAAGTGTCAAGACGGAAAATTACGCGCGAAATTAAATACTTATTAAACTTTATAAATATTTATAACTTTTAATTGACATTTTGCGAATTTTCACCATCACAATGTCAAAAAAACTAATTTTTTATGTATTTAAGCAAAAAACATGGTAAAAAATGGTCCACTTAGAGTTAATTATATAGAATGTTGACAAATTCACAATGAAAGGTCGAAAATAATTTGTTAATGGATGGTTTTTCATCACTAATGAAAACGAAAGTTAAGGTCGTTATACCGCCATCTCTTACGCGTACAATTTGAGCGACCATTGAAAAACGACGTGTTTTTCTAATTTTATATCGACGTCGAGACCCCGAGTGTTAAGCTTTCGGGTGCGAAATAATAAATTACGTCGAATAGCGCAATAAATTCAGTCTCGATACACTCCACAAGGGCCATCGTCACCGGGTAGCACTCTTTTTTTCTGTGTGTGAACAGTAAAAATACAAACGTGACAGACGGTTATTAATCTTGATAATGAATACGACGGAACGATTAATGCAATTAACAAATTGGCGTTTGATTTTTACTGCGACATAAAGTTTTATATTCATTTAATTGCAATAAATATATTTTACAAGTTTGGTTAGTAGAGAGTTTATTATAGGCAACCAAACATACACGATACAATTTTTGAGATATAAAGGTTATGTTGAAGTTTTACGGAAGCTTATTGTGTAAAATAAGTGAAGCGTGTCTGCACGATTGAACAAGTGTACTTTGGGTTGAGTGTGTCGAGGGAAGAGAAAATGGAAAATTGAAAATGGAGCTTTTCAACGAGGACTCGTTTGCTCGTTGATTGTGCAATAAAGTGCAATAGCACTGGGATCGTTTGACATGAATAATACATGTATAGGCAACCCAATTTGACTTCTGAATGCTTTTGAAATTTCGTCATTTATATGTGGTATTTCTGGTTTTCTATTACATATTGTTTAGTTGTAGAGTTTATTTAACGTGTTTTGCATAAAATCAATACCGATAGAAACTTGAGTGCGCCGTAGTGAAGTCCTTAAGTTACCCCAATAACCGTTGCTTTTAATAGATATCGTGTGACGAAGTTTGTGCTAAGCCTAGTTCTAAGTGTAAATGGCGGGTCGTGAAATTGTATAGGTTAAGTTTTGTCACTTAGATTCACTTACAACTCACGTAACCAAACATAAAATTTAAAGGTTAACTACAATATAACTTAACATTACTGAACCTAACCTAAAAATAAGATATTTAATAGTAAACACTAATTAGTTGAAGTGAATTTACTGAGATTGCTTCATCTGGATTGGATGCTGGCGGGCCACAAGAAGCAATTATGTTGGGAATGAGCGAATTTGTAATGTAATTAGCCATCTACGTGGATACCTTGCGGTTGCCCACAATTAGTAACCACAACTCGAGAGAGAAACTTCAGGAAAACCACTTCCATTCATTCAGATTAAACTCAATACTCAATAGGTAGTAAATTTCAATGTTTAGTTTGGTTTTTTCCGGGAAAACTATTACTTGCTTGAGTTTAAGTAAAATGCAGTAATACAAAAGAATATGAAGAGGTAAACATAAATTAATGTAATAAAAAGGAGTTCGCTGGGAAGGAAGGATCATAAAAAACATTTCTGACACGGACGTCTAGACTCAGCATCCGATGTGATCGGGGATTAACCTCAAGTACTCCGGGGATTATCATCTCACCACCTGTTACTATATACAGTGTGTTTTAATATCATAAAGTTTTATTCATAAATTTTATTTAATAAATAAAGCAATTGCTCAAAAATTTTGTTTTTAATTTTTTTTCTTTAAAATTTTTGGATGTTTTATTAATTATTTTATCATATACAACATAAAGAAATTAAAAAATTAAAATTTTAATGCTGAAAATTAATTTTTCTATTTTTGAGTTATAAATAGCAATTTTCTGTTATGGATATCTACCTATATGAACTACTATAATAATAGAAATTAATTTAAACTAATATTTAATCATTTCTACATTAAACATCTACCTATTATTAGTTTTAATGTAAAATAAACAGACTGTATTTGTGCGGTGGAATATAAATCAAAGTCTTTGTCCTGCTACTGACTGCTGAACCGCAAACATCAACGAGAACACGGCAAGAAGCCACAAATTGGTTGATTAAATTTACGGCTGAAAGAGTAAACTGAATGTTCGAGTATGTTTACGTTGATAACAGTACATAAATTCACTTCATGGAGATTACAAACCATTTTTACCTTTTTTTAACATTTTCCTTACTAAAATATGTTCATTTATCAATTATAATCCAACATAACCTTACTTATAAACTTTTTGTTTTATGATTGATCAATCTGTTATTAATATTGTTTTATATTTTTTTATTCTTTCAACAATAAGTGTATTATGAAGTATTGCAGAGTAAATAAGTAACAAATGTGTTTGACAAGAATCGATTGCTCTTTAATATATTATTCTGTTTTTGTTGACTTGTAAACTTTTGTATGTTTTATACGTTGGCGTAGGCAACTTCATACACTGGAAAAATCGAACAAAAAGTCTATATACAGCAATTAGGAATATAAATCAAGTTGAAAGTACTTTTTAATTGGAATCGCAACACATTCCAGTTATGAATAAATTCAAAACATTGAAAAAGTCTAAAAGTAGCTTATAGCACATAACAGTAGAAAAAAACCTAAAGCAAAACATGATAAATTGCTAAATTCGCTGACTGAGTACTCACTCAAATCGCTCGTTTTCATCCGATTTGCTCCAACGGAAAAATAAATACCTCGCAAATTGCGCGTGGGAATATTAAGCCTGAGATATATTTATTTTTTGCCAAAAATGCAATAAAATGCAACTGATTTGCAAACAAATGTGCGTATTTTCAGCTAAAAACACTGAATTTACGTCGAAAATGCTTTTCATTATAAATTAATACGGTGAATAACTCGATGTAATTACGAACGTTGCAAGTACTAACTCTCAAGATGCAGAAAACCTAAGTAGATTTTAATTAAAAGCTCCGAGAGTTAATTTTCTGTCAGTTTGCCTCACAGAGAACGCATGTATATGTAATTTAAGTTTATCCTAATTACAATTAATCTTAATAAGCTTAGATAACCTCTGATGTTATTTTAACAAATGTAAAAGTAAAAGGTTGAAAAATGCATTTTGGGTTGCCTATATATACAGCAAGCACTTTACTCGTATGTTGATTTCATGGACGTTGACACTCATTTCCCAGCCGCGACGCAAAAAAATAAGAATAAAAAATAGAGAGGACTGTCGTCATGACAACATCGCGAACAAAATACGAGCCCACTCACGTTTAAAAGAATATAAAACCAACACCAGCCGTTATATACGAGTGCAGAAGAAGAGCTTCGGAGTGTTGTAAACGACGAACGATTTTTTGCGTTTTGCGCTTTTTCGCCGTTCGCATCTTGCTGATTTTAATTTCGTTCGAAAGAGATGATGCTGACTGCCACCGTGATTGCTCTGACATCGACGCCGTCAACCTATAATTGCCTCTATAACCATTCAGGAATCGCGGCGCGACATTACACGTGTTACTGACTTGAGTAGCGCAGACAGCGCCATGTTGATGTACCACTAATATCCAGCACCAAATCTAGGCGAATAAAACGCTAATAAAAATAAAAATAAAAACATTTGAGTGCGAAAGAAGTGAATATTCTCTTGGGAATTGAATAAATAAATAATTTTATTGTTAAAATACGAGAAAATAAATACTGCAGACAATGGCAGTTTAGTTTTATGTTTATTTATTTAATTATTCAGTTGGTATGAAAATATTATTAGAGTTTTTAGTTTTAATTCCACGAAAGTTTAATTAGCATATAAAATTCCTGAAATCGCTAAAACATAATTTAAATCGGAGTATATTGCGTAAATATTTTAACTAGAAATTTTACATCAAATAGTACTCAAATAATAATAAATAAAACTGGTTTATTTCAATTTTCAACTTGTTTACAATATCAAATTGTAAATTATAACAATATTTGTTGCTTTGTGTCATAAAAAATATCAAAATCTAAAGGCAATTATGACGTTATCGTGCATGTTCACCCGAGATGTAATTACCGCAATCGCTCGAGCCGTTAATGTCTCCCTTGAGATAAACCCCGAAATTAATGTTGTTCATTTACAAACGCAATTGTATCACAACTCTTTTCTCGGTAAATTTACAAGATATATTACTTTAAATAACTGGGAGAATAAAAATCGAAAAATTTTAATTTTTGTTGGATTTATTTACAAACAAAACAAAACATGTTCAACACAAGCGAATTAATTAACAACAAAATATTTGGCCATTCTGGGACTACACAAAATTCGTAGATAATTGCACTTCCCAGGTTTGCAATCAAATATAATCTGTAAAATTAAATATAATATAATATTACACATTAAAATGTAATGTTGGTTGCCTACCTTTCTTAATAATGCTTCCAGACTGTTAATACTCTTTGATATGATCTATTCTTACATAACCTAACTTCCAGAGTTTACCAGAAGCTTCCGTGATGGTCCAAGTGATCGTGATGGTCGAAGTGATGCCCATGGAAATCATGGTCGTGATGGTCATAGTGTGCCAACTGATGGTGGTCGAAGTGATGATCCACATGATGATCAACATGATGATGGTCAATGTGATGATCGTGGTGATCATGTACATAAACAGGAACATGGACTTTTTCTACGTGATGATGGGTGACGTGATGTTCAGGGACATGGAGAGGGACATGGATGATGTGGTGTTCATGGACTGGACCATGATGTTTACCAAAGAAGATTGGTTTGGCTGTGGAGATGGTGACCAGGGCAGCAAATGCAATCTAAATAATAATAAAAAAATTTATTAAAAAATTTGAAAAATTTGTGTTTTTATTTATTTTTACTTACTAAAAACTTGGAAGCCATTTTGTTTGTGGAACTTTAGGTAAAGTTATGTACTCAAAGAGCAGGTCTTCGATGGAAGCCAAAAGAAAGTGATGTCCATCGAAAATCCGTCTTGGGTTTTTATACTCGCCCGCAGACGTGCGACTCTCACCCATTCCGCTGGTTTTCGTTGGGCGATCTCCCGTCCTGCTTCATTTCTTCACGCGCGCTTCGTCTGGTCAAGCGCTCCGGTTCAAAATCACCCAAAAATTCAACGCCGGCACAAGAGAAAAGTAAGAGTGAACATTGTGCAAGTTTGCATAAATTTTTCTTTATGTGTCGAGTTTCGTTTCGACGTCGTGTTGCTCGCTCTCGATCTGGTTCCATAATCGGCTGATGAAAGCACCGAAAGCGCTCCGGAAACTCCGGCCAGATGGACCAAACACGGATGACAATAAATTATTTTTAATAAAACGAATTTGTAGTTGCCCAACAACACAATCGGCAAACTTTAAAAATATTTAAATTTTTTTTGTTTGAATTTACATAAAATTGAATTTAATTTGATTTCGCGAAACCTGATTCGAATTTTGAAGATAATAACTTATAATATTGATCTTTTATTAATGAAATCTACGCAAATTTAATAATAATATTAATATCAATTAATTCCATGCAAAATCAAATATTAATCTATAAACTTGTGTGCAATTAATTTAAATTTAAGTTATTTTACGATTTAAATTAATTTAGTTTAATTACATAATATGTAACTTGTGCAAGTCGACACGTGTCCCGAATATGTTGGATGTTATTGTTGCACATCGTATTATCATAATATTAATTTATTTCGGAATTAACGATCGCCGCTAATCAGGTTATTTCTCTTCTCTCTCGGGAGAGAGAATTTCTGTGCGCGTCGAAAATGCGATGCGCTTTAGGCTGTAGTTATGGCCTCGTAAACCGTTCAATATGGTTTATCGGCGGATGCATATTAGAAAACTTGGATTTATTGAGATGTTGAGATGTTGCAACGTGTTTAAAATACGAGGATTAAAACAGCGCATGTGGATAAATCAGAGAGAACATTTGGTATAAATGTTTATTCTGTTGAATTATTAAAATGTGAATCAAATGATGGTTGTACATTAACATTTATATTATATTCATGAGTGCACTTACCAAAATTGGTGTAATTCAATTACTGCAGGGTATATTATTTGTATTTTAAGTTAAAATTGTTGCAATTGTTGGAAAATTGCAAAATTTGTACAGAAATTCGGTTAAAATTAATTTTAAAGGTATTTTTAAAGAAAAAAATTGTGTAGTTTAACCATAATTCGTAATAATGTGTAATTGTACATAACATAACCTAATTATTGCTAACCTAACCTCAATTTTGTACTATTACATTACAAACACAAAAATTTAAATTAAAATGTTAATAATTTGTATAAAACTCTTTTCACAGCAAGTAATAACAGTAAAAACCCTTAAATTTTGTATTAATTTTAATATTTGCTTAAAATTTATTTAAAATTAATTTTTTAGTTAAAAAATGTGTGTTTTACTTTATTTTTCTATAATTTCTACTCAAATCCTTTATATCTTCATTTGAAACGGTTTACAACCTAATTTAACTACTACTAACCTAATCTCAAATCAATACTATTATATTCTAACCAAAAATATATAACAAAAATGCAAATAATCAGCATGAAACTCTCTTCTCAAACAAAACATGTAAACCATGTGACATTTATCTGCAAAATTTCTTTTTTCTTTTTTGTTTTATTTTATTTTTATTTTATTTTATTTTCTTCAAAATTGCTTATGCAAGTCGCAAATACACAATCAAAGAAAGACGTAAATTCCTAATCTAGTCACCTGTTAAGCCGATTTATATTTTATGCTCTTTCGCCGCGACCGGGCCGTGTTAAAAGTGAATAAATTACCATCATGCCATCGCTCGAATACCAAACAGCATCTTTCCACAGACATAACGTCCCAGTAACTCAACAACACACACACACAAACACCAGTATAGTATAGTATAGATAAAATGTTATTAGTACAAAACGTACGAATTCATAAACAACTTAATTTTATTTATGACATTTTATATTTATCTATTTCGAGTCGAAGTTTAGTTTCTCCACATCCCAGACCCAGGCTTAATTATGTTTAATTTATAATTGTTACGTATTACGTGCAGACAGATGATACGACAGAAATTACTAGCATCTTAGAAATTCAAGTTAACGATCCAAGAACACAAACTGAAACTAAAATCATTTCATGCGGTTTCCTTTTGTTGCAATAAATTAATATGATTAATGGATGTATGTTTTTGATGTGATGCGTATGTAATTATTATTATTTAATTAAAATAACATCAAATGTATGCAAATTATTTCCACGAAAACTAATTATATTAACTTTGATCATTTCAATTTTCATTCAGTTCTGAATTATCAAGTTATGAATTCCAAATTGCGATTCATAAATCACGCTTCACTTATTCATATATATTCATATTCCATCACCGATCGCCAGTCGGATTCATATTCAAGTTTATACAATAAGTTATATTCCACGTACGCACTTATCACTTATTCAACCAAACTCGCAGGATAACCTCTGAAAGACTTACTCGGAAACCTACATAACCTATATATCTATATAATACATATAAAGTAATGTGTGTTGCCTAGATGTGGATGGATAGGATACATTTTAGGTTATGTTAGGTTATCACAAATGTAACAATAAAATTTGTTATGCACGGCACGTGTGCATACGTCGGATGCAATTCGGTGCGAAAATATTGCCGCAGCCTCCATGGAAATAAATTTTCTATTTTCTATTTTCACATTGTGAGTTTTCCCGTATTGGAGAAAATATAAACGAAATTTGCGTTTTATCATCATTGGAATACGGTTATATCTTTTCACTTTTTATTACGCGTATTACTTGTTATATCTTCAGGCAGGTTGATCTCGAATTTCTCAATGAGTATCGCTTCCGTTCGCTGGAATTCAGTTCATCTTGCGCGTCACGCACGCAAAATCCGATCGCAACACACCGAGCCAAGATGTCTGCTCATTTCACTTCGGCGTATTAACATTCCAGTCGGTGTGTGTGATTTAAGAAGAGAATACGCAACTGTGCCAGACCAGACAGACGGTCGCTGGGAAGTAAAATGGAAGTAAATGCTAATGGCGGTCGAGGAATCCAGTGTGAAAGTGAAATTGTCGGTAATATAGGCCGCGGGCGCTCGCGATTCATGAGATCAAGTTCGCCGAGTGTTCCACAATGAATGAAAGATATTGAATTATTGTTTAAAAAGGTAAAAAGTGAGGTTATGTAAGTTTTAATCGATTTTATACACATTAAATCTAAAATTTGATAAAATGTTACATGAAAGTGAATTGAGTGCTGGCTCATTACTGATTCCGATTGAAGGTGACAGAATTTCGAAAAACGTGCGTGTTGGATGTTCAAAGTTACGTCCGATGCACAGCTGCACGTTGTCGGAATACAAGCAACAGACCCGATTAAATCACGTGTGGAAATTTGCCGTTTAACAATTCGAACATGTATGAAATTGCTTTCACTTATCGAACGCCCAAACAATGCAAGGTTATCTTGATTGAGGTTATGTTGGCTTCGCATGGAATTCACTATATGTAACTACACATCATTAAAATAAAAACAAGTAAAAAACGCTGGTTCATGTACATTTGTGAAATGTGAAAACAATTCATTGTATATTTTGTGCTGTTTTCCGTGAATTTCTGCGTATTATTGCATTTTTTGCTTGTTATGTAATGTAACAATTTTCAACTAAAGCACGATAGCACGTACGCGTTACCTAGACGTGTCTCTTTGCATCGATTGCTAAAAATCTGATGACATGCGAGTTTCGAATAATTTTGTAATTTCCCTCGGTATTATTTCAAATGGCTTTGAAAAGCGATTGCCGTCATCGCCGAAAACCGCCCGCGCTCACTAAACACGCCAGTGATTGATGACCGCGTGCAGAGCTGACGTATGTTCGTTTCTTACGTGCACCACATACTTCAAACCAAAATTATTTTAAGTTTAGATTGGATTATACAGTTTGTTTTAGGAAATAAAAACGTAATCTTTTTCTAATTGCTGTTAAACAGTGCTTAAAATTTAAATGTAAACGTTTGGAATGAAAATACGTCAAAGGGTGAAGAATTAAAAGCAGAATATGCAAAAAGTGTAAAGCGCACTGCCCTGGAATGTGAAATGAGGTTTTTATTAAAATGATACGTACATACCCAGAGAGAAGCAAATTAAATTGTGTTCTTTTGAAATTTACATGTCTGTTATTTTTTGTACCTTCTTAGTTATTTGCTGTTGTATGTCAAGTCTGTGAGAGAAAATTAAGTAATTTTAAGACATCGATAAATTACTGCTGTTGTTATTTGTATGTTGGGTTGCATACTAATAACACAGAAATTAAAAACGCAGTTTAAGTTATTTTCTTTATTTTTTTGTTGAATAGTGTAGTTACGACTGCATAAGTTAGTAAAATACATTTACTGAGTAATAATTCATTGTTTAAGTTAATGATTCATTCGAAAACTTGGCGTGCAATACGAGAAACAAAATGATTCTAGTCGAATAACTTTGCAGCAAGTCAAAACTTCGCCAAGTTTTAGTAGAATATGTCATTAAAGTTAATTTGAATCGATTTTTATCTGAATGCGATGAATCTGGAACCACACTTCAATTTCTCACTGGGAATTTGAGATTGGATTGAATAATTTACCACCACCGCTTTCTGTCTGCACTCAAAATGAGTTCGGGTTCTTCCTTGTTGATCCTTGCGTCCGCAAGTCCTGCCGACCGCATGCAACCACGTCAAACATTTCAGGCGGGTTGAATTCGACGCATCAAAACAACCGCCGCCGTAAAGGTTGGCGATGACAGTAAGTAACAATGAATAATGAATTTATTCAATGTCGTTTCTCTTCACACTTCCGCAATGCGTAGATACTTAGTAATGTTGGTTGCCTGTATTAAGCCGGTTTAAGATATGTTAGCGTTGAAAGTTGCCTCTCTTGAGGATATGAACTTGGCTCAATTTATAAATTATTCGATTATAACGATGAACAGCGTAAAACTTTGCAGCGGTGAAAAGTTTACATGAAAGCTAATAATATTCATACTCTCATATTCATATAAAATAAAGTTACAACTAAATTTCATTGAATTTCCTGCTGGTTTTATAGTAATAACGCGGAATTAATTTAGGATTAATATAGGCAACTTTATATGCTTGTAATTTTAAGGTATGCAACACATTTTGTTATCCATGGTCAAGATGGTGTTTATTGCCGACATGTTACGAATTAATTAAAAACAACCGAAAAATATACAACAACAACAGCAAACATTTACCACACGGTCGTCTTCCTGTTTCATATACGAGTATACTCGGTAAACACCGGAGAGCTGTAGGCAGAAAAAGCTCTTTAGGAAACAGCACTCCGGGGGGCTTCGCCTGCTCAAACAAGGCTTGTGCGCAGAGGAGCCATTAGAGACCAAAGGAAAGCGGGCGCAAGAAAATAAAACAAAATTCGCTCTTTGACAAAAAGATGTTGCCACTCGCGTTACATACTGGTAGCACATTTTTCATTCTATCAGCAGCATTCACAATGAATGCGAATGGAAGATTAACATTTAACCTAAAAATAAACACTTAATGTGTTGATACAACACGCTATGCTTTTGATCTACAGTGCAATACAATGCGGGTTGTCTATATTGAAACAAGTGTTTTGAGTGAATGTTGTTTTAAAATTGTATTTTTTGTTTTTATACCTGTATAACACAAACATTTATATTTTTTACTCGCTGTTTGTTTTAGTGATGAGTAAATTTGCCAGTCTGCAAAACTTTATTAACTGATGGATGAATATTTCGATTTTGCGTGCTGGCACTCTGCGAATTTAGATTTTGGTCGTTTGAGCCGCACATAATTGGAACGGTTTTGAATTCGTCAGTAATATTGATTTCTACATGGCTCGCTTACACAAAGTTAGTTTCAGTTAAAGTTGACATTGTAAACGGTAATGTTTAATTGAAACTTTGTTTGCATCAAACGATTAATACTAAATTATCTCTGTGAAATTCGATCAAATATCTCTAAAAATAACATTTAAATATTAAATATACACAAAATGCAATAAAATCCTACTGAATTTTATAATAAATATTAAATAACACGGAAAATCAAAGCAGAAAATTAAATTACTTCGTGGAATGCATTCAAATATTCACTAATTACACGAAATAATCATTATTATTCTATGCTGCATCGGAAATTCAACTTTATTTCGTGTTTTAGCGCTGCCACAATGAAAGTTGTTGATTGGCGGTTTCCATTAGCAATCGGTTCATGTGTTTTAGTATTCGTGCGATGTCCGCGTTGGTAAGTTTCTACATATAAATGCATTTCCTTCGCCGTCATGTTCCCGATCGGAAACACGAAAAGGACTCGAGGCGTAAACCGTTTCGGCAAAGTTCACAATGAGGTAATTTTCAACAGACGTGTGTGCTATGCAGACACATATGTGAAATGCCCGGCGCCTCCACCAAAAGTGATCAAGGACATGAAGGTAATCATAAATTATAGCTGTTCAAGACAATATGATTTTTATTTTAACAATATGGAACATTATCAAACATTCAATTCATAAATTATGTTTACAATATTAAATGGTCGGATAAATATTGAACATTAATTATTTTTGTTTGTTTTTTTTTTGTCTTAAATAAAAATATTTTTTTGCTGTTTTTAATTTTTATAGATTTAATTGCTAGGATAATTAAGTATCGTCTTGGTATCAATAATCTACGTATTTGTTTATAAACTAAATTCTATTCGTAAATTGTTGTGAACTTATTTACATCACAAATCACATAATATTCGTTATTCGCCGGTGGATTTTAATCAGATTTTTTTGTGTGTGGATTAAACACGAACACCAGCGCTATCAGGAATATTTGCTTCGACATTAACCGGTCGTTTTTCATCCGGCATGCAGGTGAGTTCAGTGTTGCTGACGCGCTTACCGTTCAAATCAGCGCCATCTGCGTTCCTTCGCCTTCGGAGAAAATCGCTTAACACATCAAACTTAAACATCTTCTGGAACGCCGTGCGGAACTGCGCTGACATCGAACAATAGAGAATAAAGGTGACTGAAGAGCTCGCCAGTGCCATTATGTCGAATAAATCACCTGCAAAGATAATATTCAGAGTAATACTCATAAAATTATTGAATTAGTGTAATGTTGGTTGCATTCATTAGGTTAAAATGTTCGGACGTCAAAGGAAGTTGACTCGCAATGTAAATTAATCTAAATATTTTCCACTTTACTCGTACACAACGTTTCTTAAATGGATTACTGTTTTATGACGTAATTAAATTGCCTTTTAGGTTAATTCTATCATCAAGTTTTGAGTTCCGCTTAATCGCTGATAATTTTCTCTAGGGAAATATTTTCGCAGCGCTTACAAACACTAAGCCTACTTAAATAAAGTAAATAAATACTAAACAAATAAGATCAAGTGATTTCTTAGAATTTCCTTAGAATTCTATAGAAAATCTTTTGGAAAAAGACAAGTTCCGTGTATAGTTTTATTTTTATGTTGGTCCTTAGAGAATACTACCAGGAGTACATTTAGGTCACTCATCTAAGAGCCACGTCACGGTACAAAAGGAAAATTACTACTTTTGTACCCCACCGACAGTACCTGTCTAAACGTCGGCGCGTCTAACCTCATATTATCCCTTTTCCAGCATGGGAATGATCCGCATTCATCCGGCTTCATAATCTTATCCTCCCCCACAGAATTGAGGTTAAGTGATGATACGATGATATTTTCATGTGGTTTATATAATAATCTCCCTGCGTTATGACTGAAAATGTATTTCGGCGCTGTGTAAATGTTTTGTTTAAAGACTTCTGAAGACGTTTTACTCGTATGCTGAATGCTAATATTACAGCATGAAAATTAATTATCTAAATAACAAACAACGACGGTTCCACACTCTATATATCATGTTCTTCATTCTTTGTGCTTTAAAATCACATTATGTTCAAAGTTGGATGTTTACGTAGAGAATCACGTTCCAAACATCATTCTCAGACTATTTCTCGTTGTTTAACTGTCTGGAGATGTCTTGAGACTCTTGGGGTTTAGACTTGATTCATGTCGGGGGAGATACAAAACGTTTTAACGATATTAAACGATATTAACTCCTATCGAACGATAAAAGTATGTGTTTTTGATTTTTATTTTAAGAAAATAGTTTTTTTATGAAAAGATGAATTTTTGAAGGAATAGAGTAAATAATGGTAACATTGTAATCCAAAAGGCAAAGGAATGTTGTTGACATCGTAAAAAATGCGAAAATAGAACGCACATACAACGTTTAGTAAAAGAATTTCCAAGAAGAAATGCGAACGCGCACAATATGTGCAAGAATATGTACTTCGAGTTCCTCAAGCAAAGCGCAAAAAATGTCGAAAATGTTACGCCTGATACACAAATGTATTTCCTGTTATTTTCGAGTGACCTACTCCTCCGATCGAAAATCATACAAAGGATTCGTATTTGAATGATTTTACAGAGAGGCTTTCGTTGAAAATCTACAACATTAAGTTTTCTAACTTAGAAAATTCTGACATTTTGGTAACCCAAAACCTATTTATTGATTTTATTCAACAATTGAACCCTTGTTCAACTCCTACAAAGGGTTCAAGTCCACTTAACCTCACCTTGTAACATCTCGCTCAATTTACGTCAGCATATCTTTTGTTTTGTGTCGCTCACAGCCATGTTTAACAAATATTACACCGAAAAAAGTTGTGTTTTATTTTGATTCACATTCTCTCACCACTCCGAGATGAAACAATAACATTTTCTGCAACGTGTTGAATCAATCAATGCAAAAACGTGCAAAAAATAAAATCGTTGATTTTGTTTACGAAAGTGAGCGTTCAAAGGTGCTGATGGCGTCGAAGTAGGCGTTCACAACAAATTCCTCAGTGCGATAAGTGTTTGGATTGGAATTAAGGTACCAACAAGTTAAGTTGGCAGCGTTCAAAGTTGGACACGCTGCGGTTCGAGCGGCTGGTTTGTGTTCCTGTAAAACTCGCAGCAGGAACGAGGTGTATTTATACGTGTGGGTGAGTGGCGGAGATTTGAAGTTACGACCGCGCCTCCGGCTGAGACTTAAATATTTACGTTAGTGTTAACGCCAAGAGCATTTTGACATCAATTAGGATTCACGTAAGTCTTAAAATTTTAAAAGAAATAAAATCAAGTTGAGATTAATTACAAAATATATAAACTTAGTTTTATAAAGTAAAGAAAATAATAAATCATTTCTTATCCAGCAGGAAATTAATTTTACTTTTGAAGTTTTCATTAAAATTAAAATTAGTTAATTACGCGCTTCAATATCAATTTCCGCGAGAGTTTTGTGCAAGTAATCCTAATCCAGACATTCACACAATACATTGTTACATTGTTTCACCGAAATGTTAGTTAAGAGAGAATTAAATCGTATTCTCGTCGAGTTTTTGAATTAAGTATTAAGCTATTGCTATAGTAGCTGTAGTAGCGTGGAGGCGAACTTTTCCGGTTTTCCGTCGCGTGCGGGGGACTTCCATTCAATCTGCACACGCCTCTGGTGGCTATTATTCGTCTCGTTTTTATTCGCCGACGCTGCTTTCGATGGGTTTACATCGGCCCAGCGAGGAGTTTAAACGGAAAACACATTTTCCGACTGTCAGCTTGGATTTGAAAAAGGTCGACGCGTTCCGAAATTTGTGACGAGCAGAAATAAAAATCCCCATTGGCGATAATTCGTGATAAGCATCTATACGTCTATTGATTTTTTAATCAATGGGGTCCGTACTTGTATTCTAATTCTAATAGATTAAATTTATTCTGACTTTTTTCATTATATATTTGGTGCTTTGTTGTGTTCAATGAGAATGATTTGGATGGAATGGCTGAGTGCGCTCCTTCGTCTCACTTGGCTTATTAAATGTGACAGCGTGTGCTTCCTCCACATTCCTCGCGGGAAACGGAGACTTTGGGATGCGTTCGGTGCAAGCAAGATGGCGCACAATAATTTATAATTAAAAGCGCTTATTAATCCCGCGCGGTGCGCTCTCAAACAGCTAAAACAGTTCCTCTTCCAAGTAAACCCTAAGCAAGCTTTGAATTGCATCATATTTCATCTACTTGAATGTGACACACGCACGTAGAATATATTATTAGGATTATATTTTATTTTTAAAAATAGAAAAATATTAAAAACCTGTTTCTAAAACTAATTATAGAACTTTTACAATTTCTGGTGTACAGTTTGTTTATTTTGTAATAGGAACTTAAAAATCAAGTGGTTAAGGAAGCGTTTTAGTCACGAGATTGATAAAGTGCAAGAGGAGCAAACTTTTAATCAATTAAGTGCTTAAAAGCGTTTAACTAAGTGATGCTTACGCTATGTTTTCTACTTTTACTCAATTTCCACGTTGGCTACTGCACAGGCGCAAGCTCCACCCCGTGACTAAAACCCGTGACTAAAATACTTTACTCACGGCTTTGCCTATCCGTACTTAAAGTGCCGCTTTCTGTGACTTAAAACTCACTCTTCAAAAGTGGAAGTAGAAAAAAGTATTAAAATATGATTTTTAAAACTAATAATAGAACTTTTACAATTTCTGTTATTGAGTTTGTTCATTTCGTCAATTTATAAAAGGATTCATCAAAAAAGGAAGCCAGAAATAATGAAATTCCATTCGGACAAATTACATTTCCGCTTTTTTCGCTTTTTTGCGCTTTGAAGCTGGGTAAACAAAAAGTTGTTGAAAAACTTAACAAACGCAACAAGCATAACATTTCTGAGTTTAATTACACCCTGTCAAACTTTGTAAAACTATAATCTTTTTGATTTAGGTCTCTGACATTTTGATACTGGCTAAATTATAAATCTCGCAAACGTTTAAGATTTCAAACGAACAAAGTTGCAAACTGTCAGAAAGTTTTTATGATTGAATCGCTAGTCTTTAATTCTCGTAATGCAAATCCCCAAGTTTTTTTTTTGCTTAATTTATACAAATATCAAATATCTTGAAAATTTATGCGTATTCACAAAACGTTTTATAAGCAGTGTAATGCGATAACGGCTTTTGAATTTTCGACAAGTTTCAACGCTGTGTGCGTGTTTTTAGCGTCGTTGTTTGCAAAAGTTTTATTTTATGCTTGTAGTCATAAATATGGCGCTTAAAAAAGCGGCCGAAACATAAATTCTTGTGCGATTGCACAACGCACACAACAAATGAAATTTTATGTGCGGAAACTTGCTTAGTAAAGTTGAGGAACTTATGAAAAAGTTGGCTAAGTTCAATTAGGAATGAAAGTTAACGCTAGGGCGGTATTAGAGGAAGGAAGAAGAAGTTAGGATGTAAAAAGACTAATTGTGAAACAAGAAAATGTTAATGTACTACTTTTATGAATATTAAATCCAAATTTTAATCCCAAAAGTAATTTTTCTGAGTAAATAAAAAAATATACAAATAAAATATTTACTGAAAGCTGAAATAATCTCAATTTCAATTTCCATTTGAATTTCAATCAATAAAAAACCCACTTTGAAGCCAAAATATTAATTTGCAAGATAAATATTAAATTACATCAGAATGATAAATGACTTAAATATAAAAAAACGTCAATAACATTATGATGATAAATATTTGTCGTATTCATCAATCAATTCATGGTTTTAACTAAAACTACGATAATATTTACCCAGCGATTATTAAAAAGCTTCTCCTGGTCGATCAGCCTTGAAGCAACAAACTAATGACAGCAAAAAACGCGAATGTGCATTCTACTCCGATGAAGACGCGCGAAAATAAACATTTGTTTAATTCGATCGCAATTTCCATCAAGTTATTTCATCAGCATACGTAATCGATGGCCAGCGGCGAAAACAAAAAAACGCGCACGGAAAAAACTTATTATGACGCCGGGTTCCCACGAGAAAATTTGCATCACGAATATTATTACAGCGTGCATGCATAATTGATCTATGTGTTTGCGTATAAGTTATTTTTGCTTAAAGAAAATCGAATGTCATGCTTAGATATTTTATTCATATTTTATTCAGTGTGTTAGACGCAATATAATTTGTTTTTAGGTTATGTGATTGTTTGAGTTGAGCGCCATCTCACGGTGAAATGGTTCCGCTCACACAATATTGTCAAAAATGTCAAATTTGTACCTTTATGCATCGATGAGTGCATGGTTGCATAATTACACGCTTGCACGACGCATGAATGCATGAATAAATCCATGCAGTGCGCTTTTGCTGCATCAAGAGCAAACGCTTCGAATCGAGTGCGCAGTTAATTAGTTACATAATTTACCAGCGCCGAAATAGATGACAAGGCTTGATTTATGTTCGAAATAAGTTTATTAAATTATGCACGTTTAATATTAATTAAAGCCAGCGTCGAGGAGGCAACCCAATGTCCTCGAACGCATTAGCAAATTGTTCTTGTCCCTTGCGCTAAACTACCAAACAACATAAAAAACGCTGGCATTACGAGCATTACGATCATTACGTAAACTATTTTCTCAAGTTTCGCGTAAAGCCGTCTTGACAAAGAAATATTGCGTTAAAAAATATGTCTAAAGAATGTTTTGTTTGGATGTCCAGGAAGAAGATAACTAATAGCATTCTCCGGAAGCAATTAATAATGAATTTTGTTGGAAACAATGTTTGATTTGTGCTGAAACTGCATTTTGTTTATTTTTTCGCAGTTTCTGTGAACGCGATCGTAAATATTTAAACAGCAATTTCCGTCTTGTTTTTCAATGCCGCACGGCCTTTTGTTGGCGCATTTCAATATTGCGTATTTACTTTTTTCATAACACAAAAAACGAAACGAAATGCTCAAGTGTAGGCCACTTCTTACGCAGTCGGTAAGAAAGCTTTGAAAAAACGTCGATTCACAGCACGTCTCTAACAGGTTTTCATGCGGTCATGCTTTTTTTCTCAATGTAGAACATAAATAATTTTTTCATATACACAAAACTTACAAAAACAGTGTTAATAATGCTTTGAGAGATGTAAAAACATAACACCCTGTATAATACGGTACAACATGCTTTTACGAATAGAAATAAATTTTTTTGCAACGTGTGCAGAAGGCTGCGACACGAAATTCCAATATAAATTTCCATACATAAAAATGCGTCTTCATTAAGCCTGTCTTTTTGCCTCGGAACAAAAAAGCTCTCAACCACTCGTCATCCTGTGCATTTCGCCTCGTAACTAATAACGCTGCATTTCCGAAGCTTAGAATTTTTCATATTAAAAAGCGTCTGTTGTTCTGCAGTATAGTATACTCGATGCTCATAAAAGTCAAAGAAATAAACAACAATGAACAAAAGTAAACATCGCACGCAACACGCATCATACACGTCGATGTGTATACGCGTGCTCTTTTTTATATCCGCATAAATATTTATACACTCTTTGTGATTTGCTCCGGAATAAATTTCCAGCGCGTAATTTTTGTTTGGCGTATTTAGTCCGCCGAGGACAATATTATTGTTTGCAACTTCCTGACGAAGTTAAGCACGTCAACGAGAAATTGATTTGCTGGCGTGAGTGAATCTCATCAGCTTTCGGCTGAAGCCCGCCGAGATTTCAAGTCAAGTATTTTCGGGATTTGAGGCGAAGAATAGCGCAAGAGTGACGAATGGTTAGACTTAATTGGAACTTCATCAGCGACATCAACGCGGTGTTTGTTTACTTGGCCAAAAGCAATGATTAACAAAAGTCATGAATTTTAAGTTGAGAAATTCGGAAATGTTTTTGTGTTTACTTGGATTATCCGGATGAGCAACGCTGTTTTATTGTGCAATTCTACTTTTAATTCAATAAAACAAAACAAAGCGCCGTAATGAGATTCAAAACAAGCGTAATAATGAGCTCTCGAATAAAATAATTTTAAATAAAACAAAATATTGGGTTATATATTCCAGTTAAGGTGATAACCCGCATTGTATATTACATCAGTATCGGCGTAATAATCAGCAGGCAAGCGCCTTATCTGTGAGCCCTGCAAAGTCCCTTAACCCAACTTTATCGCCGCTCGAGGCGGGGCACGCATTCGACCGTGCGGTTTTTTCTCGCCTGACCTTTTTCAGCCAGTCAAAGGTGCTTTCTAATTATGCCCAGCAAGGTTAACACACAGCATTAACACGTAATTGGGCAGAAAACATTCAAAATTGAACGCAACCAACATTTATTAACCAGAATATTACTTACCTAATTTATCATAACAGTTTGCACGAAATTTAGTTCCTATAACAGCTGATAGCAGTCCCATTGTAGCCTGAGGAAACTCCGGAAGAAGGAAGAATAATAATACCACCAATAACATACGTGTTGTCCTGTCTGCTTGCTGCTCTTTTCGTAATCTCTGCGTTGTTGGTCCATCGACTTCACCAATGGTACACCAGTGTTATTAGACAGATTCTTCCAGCGTTTCTTCGCGTCCCAGAGTGACTTTATCAGAAATATCGACAATACCGTCAAGAGAATACACGGAATTAATTTCAGGACGACACTGTATATTAGAAACGTAACCTGCTGGTATTCTGGCTTCAGTTCGAGCAAGTATATTGTTTCAGTGCGATTTCTCGTCTCTGGAGTGAGATCTTTTTCGGCAACCATGGTGCCATTCTCGTAGGCAGCGTGCTGCAATCCTCTAATATTCGAACCAAGGAAGATCGGTGTACAAATGAATGGACACAAGACCGTGGAAGCAAAAATTGCTAGTTTCGTACGGTATGGATGACACCAGATTTTGTTCATTTGTGGTTTGTTCAATGCGATGTATCGCCATACTGCCAGCATCACCGTGAGGCAACACGAGTTAAAATGACACACTTGTGTGAAAAGTGCATGGAAGTACGTATACACCGCCCAGGGGTAAGAAAAATACTCGACGTGTTTGCGGGCGTGTGAAGAGTTGATATAAACATGTGATGCGAACGGGATATACTCCAGCATCACCAACAGATCGCTCACGGCGAGTCCTGTGAGGATAAAGTTGGTCGGGATGCGCATCTCACGAGTGGTTAGTACACAAATGTTGAGGATGTTAGCAATTGAACCGAATATGCAAACGATAAGGCTGAGGTAACCATGCGCGGCACGCATATTAGCCTGAAACACCGCGAGGTTGCAGTATTCAGTCGCGTTCATTGTTTCGTTCATTTTTGACGTTTATCTAGTGTTTCTTCTGTAGGCTGAGGTGTATTTTATCTTTTCATTAAGTTCCGAGTTTCTTTTCAGACAGGCGCTTGCTTTGTGTGTGGCTGGTCCATTAAGTTAATGGTGGGTAAATGTCAAACAAAGGCGTTGAGCGATACGTTCACAAGACTGGCGTCCAAGGGCTGTAAAAAGACGAGATACAATCAAACTATGTTTGGACAATGTAATGACGGATGAAATTACAAAATATTCACAGTTGTGGGATGTTTTTCTGCTGACAAGTGCAAAAAATTAAATTTATTTTGTATAAATGTGGAATATTTTATGAACTAAACTATTTATATGCGTGAATGTTATTTTTTTATATCTGCAGATAACAAAAAATATAATAAAAGTAAAGGAACGTAAAAAATACGCACAGCATGTGTAATTACAGATAAGAGAAAATAAATGTGGACAAATAAATGAAGAACTAGAGAAAAACCAAACACGATGAAACAATGATCGTTTTGATCAGTCGGTGACACAAATGACGACATAAATCAAAAACAATGGCGCGGAACAAACGATTCCAATTGGTGTTTTACGTCTTCTCGTTACTCTCACCGTCACGCTCATTACTTCCTTATCTTTTACTATCTTTATTAATAGAAATAGAACAACCGAAATGATGTACACAGAAATAGTTTTTTGTTCCGTTTTGTGTCTGTTTGTTTTTCGATCTTCAGATATTTCTGGTGGATGCGCCGGATATTGTTATCTAAACAAAGAGTTTAAACGCAGTATGCTCGTATTATTACGGAATGTTTCTGAATATGGCTGAATATTCTGGCATGTATGCTGCGTATGCTCAGCATACGAATTGTGAATCTGTTTTTAACTGCCGTCCGGCTTCGTTAAAACGCTAAAACGTTAAAAGCTTTGCATACATGTACGTACTCAAATTAATAATGCGCGCGCTGATTTCGTCCGTTTCAACGTCCGGCATTCCTCTGCAACATAAAACTGCATATTTTATGAGTGCAGGTATAACGTTATTACAGTTCGTTGCTGGATTACATCACACTTTTAATATTTTCATTCGGAAATGTAATTAACAACAGAGAGGAAAAAAATCGATAGTGATAATTTTCATTTACGTGAGTAGAAACAATGACACTCGAAAAACTCATTTAGCATATCTGCCCCGATTACGCCCGATTACGCATTCGTAATTTCATAATACGCGCGTGGAAAGTATTAGTATTGGGCTAGTTATCTAATTAACTATTTGGTAAATGAGGTGGGCGTACAGTTTGTAATTAGACGCATTCGTACATCCAATTTTATTTTATTCTATTTTTACTTTTTTAGTTTTTGCTTAAAATGTAATGAAAATTGCATGTAGTTTTACTTTTTGCCTGTGTAGCGTGTTTTTTAATTCAGGAGGTAATCAAACTTTATTTTGGGCTTTCACTATAAATAATGAAGAACAAAGTTCGGATTAACAAGCATTAAAGTGTGAACGCATTATAAATCTATTAATATAATGGGAAAAGCAGTATTTATAGATTATTTGCTTTTATAAATAAACTCAAAGTCTAGTTTTCATTTTGGCAAATTCTAACATTGACAATAGATTTGTTTAGAAAATGATTTTCAACAAAAGAAATTTATAACCTGTTTGCACATAAATCCTTGGGATTATAACAGGATAGTTATGGATGATCGTTTATTTAAACCACACGTTATTTTTACCTTCTAACACTAACATCCGCGCCACTTGTTTCGCACTTCATTTTACACATTCCTAGCAAAACGTTCCGAACACTATTTTTATGTTTTGTGGATAATGCATTCTTAATTCACTTGTTCTTGGTTTTTGTTGTTTTGGTCTAAAGTGGTGGCACTATGTAAAGTTCTTCGGGTCACCCAAGTTTGGTAAAGTTTAAAACGCGCGGTGTTGGCGTCTGAGGCGGCGGCGACGCTCGACTGGGCGGCTGAAACGGCGCGCGCTGAATGAACATCGCGCGCATGAAATGATCGCGCTGCCCGCAGCAGCAGGATCGCGTGCGTGAGACGGCGGCGGCGACGGCGACGGTGGCGGCAGAAACACGCGTTGCTCACCTGCGTGTGCCGTTTATGCATGCCCACGGCACCCACACACACACCTGGATGGAGTGCTGCAAAGTGTTGTGCAAACGGCAAGCGCGCAAGCGATAAGCATAACAAGTTTTCTTTGCCGTGCGGTGATAAAATGCGGAAAAGCGGGTGCAATCTGCTGGAAGAATTTGCTCAAATTCATGCAATACGAGTTTTTTTCCTACGACTAATTTAAATTCAATCATTTAACTTTACTGAAATAAAAAATGATATCCAAGAATATTTTCACATCTGGAACTGCGTGGCTAGCAATTTCCTCTTGCAGAAATATGCCAGATCATGCCAACTCATGCAACGACTTAGATATTAATGCGCAATAAGATCCCTTGGTCTTAGAATGCTTGGTATTCAACCAAAGATTTACGGACGAATATTATAATACTAGGAATGTAGATAATACCCTGTATGATTTATGCAAAGTTCATAATCGTATTGCGTGAAAATTATAGTTAATTACTTGCCAAAATAAAAAGTTAATGCATATTGCACGATTCTTGATCGACAGTTCGGGGAACAAGCAATCAATCCGTCATAAATATGGGATATTGATGAGTGGTTGGAGCTAATAACGCCGATTATCTCCACTGTTGCAGCACGTTCAATATCACACGTATGCGCTTTGATTAGTGGGATTCGTTATCGCTCTGGTGGCGAATGCGCTAATTATTTGAGGATAGGTTAATTTGCTTTTGCTAGCCACACCAAGTGGGTATGAGATAGCGATGGATGGATGTACATATTTTCATTCAGATATCCATATTTGAGCCATTCATTTTTTTTATTATCGCAGATGGGAATACGAAGGCTGATAAAGATATGAATAAAAATATTCTTAGAAAAAGATTTACGTTTATTTCTGTATAAAATGATACATGGCCCCATCGGAAATGCAAACAATTTTTAAATTAAATTTCTAGTTATTACTAAAACCAGTGTAGTGTACTTTAATTTATCCCGGATGCTATTTCCATGAAATCATATTGAGTTCAATTACATTGGTGTCCCCACGCTGTGCCTGGAATAATGCTGTATTTTAAATGTATTTGAAGTGTATAATTAAATAATTGACAAATTGCAATATAAAAAGTACGTACAATAAATAAATATAAAAGGGGAGATGAACTTGGTCAAATATAGCAGGAAATGTTATAAATTTAATCCATTTTTTAGTGAGAATGAAGGGCATGAAATATAATAAGATAAGAAAACTTTACTAGATTGTTGTTCTTGGCTGATGAAATCATATCCACCCTCGCGTTTCATCGCGCTTTATTTGTCCCACGGAGATTTTCCCGTTCATATCTCGCACAATTTTTCCGCATTTGAGGTAAGTACACACGCGGTCGCAGTAAACATCATTTACGGTGCATTGCGCCCTACGCAGAATGAAATTGCGAAACGTGACGATGCCGTTGCACGCTTTATTATGACTCGTATTGTGTGGACGGTTTAAAATGTTGCACGATGCGTGGGCACCATTAATACGGAGGAAGAGATAGAGATGTTTTTGAAAGTTGAAATTTTTCGAAAAGTTTCTAGACAGACGGAAAATAATGTGAGAAATCCATTTTCAATTATTACATAACTGTTGATAATTAAAAATATTACGGTGCTATCTATTGTAAAATTTTATCCTTCATTTAAATGTGAAAATGTGCAAATCACAGTTCGTAAGAAAAAGTTGATTATCCGTTTTCTTGATAATTTCTTAAGCAAACATTAAAAATTGAAAATTTTATGTTTTTCTTAATACAGATTAATTAAGAAAATAGGGTCTGGAATCCTTTTTGGTTAAAATTTTGTGTTATGATGTACCGATATAATCATACTCACCATAATTAAATTCGGTATCTAATGTGCGAATTCAGTTTTTTCTTTAGTATTGTCAATATTAATTTGTGAACCTTTATTTAATGAATTTTGTCATGCATAGTTGTTTAAATTTGTAAAAGCGTCACTAGAACCAAAAGTCCCCAGATGCGTTAAGCCTCAGAACTAAACCTCAAAACCGGCTCAACATACAACGATTTTGTCTCGTGGCTAGTCGTCATAATCGCGCTGGTGTGTTCGCACGCGTTCCGCTCGCAAGCCTCGTTTATTTTTGGTGCAAGTTCGTCATCCATCAAAATAATAAGAACCTAAAAAGAAATTAATTTTATCTTTACGCTCTTATCGGTATTTGTGTTGTATATTGGAGGTGCAAAGCATTACATTTCCGGAACATTGAATTCATACAATCGTTACTATCCAGCGTGTCTACAACATGTGATTCCTGCAAACTGCGGGGGACATCAGTTGTAGTTCGCCATCGTTCCACAGGTAGGTTTGCCATAAAGTTAATATTATTTATTTATTTTTCATGATTAATTATTTCAAATAACGGCATTTACGGTATTTTGTATGTACGCATTCTAGTAGAAATTAGTCAGTACACAATAGAATTGTTATCGTTTTTGTCTACGCGTTTATAAATGTCAGTGTGTAAACGAGTTTTTCTGGCGTTCAGATCTTGCACTGTCCATTCGTTATTGCAGAATACATATTATTTTATGTGTGAATAGGTGTTTTAACTTTATTTTTAAGTTTCGTGTTGCAGTCTCTTTCCTCAAAAAAGTTGAAATTTGAAACAATTTAATTATTATTCATTCTATTTTTTCATAATTTTTTTATGATTGATTTCTGATCTTGCTGTGGAAATTCGGCTGCATCTCGGAAACCGTTCAAGCAACTTCAATGATTATTTCAAACTTGCATAGGACGATTTTCATTTAATAGGATGCACCCCTGCCGTCCCCCAAAATAACGCTAAAAGTGCCTAAAAATCGCTAAGAGTTATTTCATAAGATGCGTCCTCAAAATACCACAAAATTGCTCTCAAACTATTACGACTTTTATGAGTTTGCAAAACACGCGGTGGAAACTTGGCTATATCGTGCGAACCGTTTACGGGATTTAAATGATTCTTTCAAATTTGCATAATGCGAGAGATGTTTCATAAGATGAGTCTTTGCAATCCCCCAAAATCACGCCGGAAGTACCTTAAAATCGTCCTCAAACTTTTACGATTTCAATGAAATTTTGAAACACTCGGTGGAAATTTGGCTGTATCTCACAAACCGTTTACGGGATTTGAATGATTGTTTTAAATTTGCGAAGAGCGAGAATCATTTTATAAGATGCGCCCTTGCAATCCTCCGAAATCACGCTGGAAGTGCCTCAAAATCGTCCTCAAACTTTTACGATTTCAATGAAATTTTGAAACACTCGGTGGAAATTTGGCTATATCTCGCGAATCGTTCACGCGATTTGAATGATTCTTTCATATTTGTATAGTGCGAGAGTCATTTTATATGATGCGCTCATGCAATCTCCCGAAATCACGCCAGAAGTGCCTCAAAATCGTCCTCAAACTTTTACAATTTCAATGAAATTTTGAAACACTCGGTGGAAATTTGGCTGTATCTCACAAACCGTTTACGGGATTTGAATGATTGTTTTAAATTTGCGAAGAGCGAGAATCATTTTATAAGATGCGCCCTTGCAATCCTCCGAAATCACGCTGGAAGTGCCTCAAAATCGTCCTCAAACTTTTACGATTTCAATGAAATTTTGAAACACTCAGTGGAAATTTGGCTATATCTCGCGAATCGTTCACGCGATTTGAATGATTCTTTCATATTTGTATAGTGCGAGAGTCATTTTATATGATGCGCTCATGCAATCTCCCGAAATCACGCCAGAAGTGCCTCAAAATCGTCCTCAAACTTTTACAATTTCAATGAAATTTTGAAACACTCGGTGGAAATTTGGCTGTATCTCACAAACCGTTTACGGGATTTGAATGATTGTTTTAAATTTGCGAAGAGCAAGAATCATTTGATAAGATGCGCCCTTGCAATCCTCTGAAATCACGCTGGAAGTGCCTCAAAATCGTCCTCAAACTTTCACGATTTCAATGAAATTTTGAAACACTCGGTGGAAATTTGGCTGTATCTCGCGAACCGTTCATGCGATTTGAATGATTTTTTCAAATTTGTATAGTGCGAGAGTCACTTTATAAGATGCGCCCATGCAACCCCTCGAAATCATGCCGGAAGTGCCTCAAAATCGTCCTCAAACTTTTACGATTTCACTGAAATTTTGAAACACTCGGTGGAAATTTGGCTGTATCTCACAAACCGTTTACGGGATTTGAATGATTGTTTTAAATTTGCGAAGAGCGAGAATCATTTTATAAGATGCGCCCTTGCAATCCTCCGAAATCACGCTGGAAGTGCCTCAAAATCGTCCTCAAACTTTTACGATTTCAATGAAATTTTGAAACACTCTGTGGAAATTTGGCTGTATCTCGCGAACCGTTCATGCAATTTGAATGATTTTTTCAAATTTGTATAGTGCGAGAGTCACTTTATAAGATGCGCCCATGCAACCCCTTGAAATCATGCCGGAAGTGCCTCAAAATCGTCCTCAAACTTTTACGATTTCAATGAAATTTTGAAACACTCGGTGGAAATTTGGCTGTATCTCACAAACCGTTTACGGGATTTGAATGATTGTTTTAAATTTGCGAAGAGCGAGAATCATTTTATAAGATGCGCCCTTGCAATCCTCCGAAATCACGCTGGAAGTGCCTCAAAATCGTCCTCAAACTTTTACGATTTCAATGAAATTTTGAAACACTCGGTGGAAATTTGGCTGTATCTCGCGAACCGTTCATGCAATTTGAATGATTTTTTCAAATTTGTATAGTGCGAGAGTCACTTTATAAGATGCGCCCATGCAACCCCTTGAAATCATGCCGGAAGTGCCTCAAAATCGTCCTCAAACTTTTACGATTTCAATGAAATTTGAAACACTCGGTGGAAATTTGGCTGTATCTCGCGAACCGTTCATGCGATTTGAATGATTTTTTCAAATTTGTATAGTACGAGAGTCACTCTATAAGATGTGTCCATGCAACCCCCCGAAATCACGCCGGAAGTGCCTCAAAATCGTCCTCAAACTTTTACGATTTCAATGAAATTTTAAAACACTCGGTGGAAATTTGGCTGTATCTCGCGAACCGTTCATGCGATTTAAATGATTTTTTCAAATTTGTAGAGTGCGAGAGTCACTTTATAAGATGCGCTCATGCAACCCCTCGAAATCATGCCGGAAGTGCCTCAAAATCGTCCTCAAACTTTTACGATTTCAATGAAATTTTGAAACACTCGGTGGAAATTTGGCTGTATCTCACAAACCATTTACGGGATTTGAATGATTGTTTTAAATTTGCGAAGAGCGAGAATCATTTTATAAGATGCGCCCTTGCAATCCTCCGAAATCACGCTGGAAGTGCCTCAAAATCGTCCTCAAACTTTTACGATTTCAATGAAATTTTGAAACACTTGGTGGAAATTTGGCTGTATCTCGCGAACCGTTCATGCGATTTGAATGAATTTTTCAAATTTGTATAGTGCGAGAGTCACTTTATAAGATGCGCCCTTGCAATCCTTCGAAATCAAGCTGGAAGTGCCTCAAAATCGTCCTCAAACTTTTACGTCTAGCTAGGTCTAGCGGGCAAACGCGATATCGTAGGAGAACCGTTCTTACAATAAATTGTAGGTATTAATATTCTCTATTGTTTTTGTATATAATTTGTGGGTTTATCCCTTGAGATCCCTACGAAATTGTATTTTTTGTGTTTTTTTACCCTTTAATTTTTGTGGTTTTAGGTGTCTAGCGGGCGAACGCGATGTCGTAGAACGACCGTTCTTACATTAAATTGTTGGTATTAAAATTCTCTATCGTTTTTGTATATAATTTGTGGGTTTTCCCTTTGGGAACCTTTTGAAATTGACATTTTTGTGATTTTTTATCCTTTAATTTTTGTGGTTTTAGATGTCTAGCGGGCAAACGCGATGTCGTAGGACGATTGTTCTTGCATTGTATTGTAAGTATTAAAATTCTCTATCGTTTTTGTATATAATTTGATTAGCGAACAACATAAAAAATTAAAATAAAAGTACGGTAGTTTAATTGCTTCAAATCACATACTTTGTGTTATTGCATTGTTGGTTTTAACTTACGAACATAGATTGTTGCCTCTCTAACTGTGGGTCGGTTATCAATTGTCGTTCTTGTTTAGTCCGGCTTAGTCGTTCGTGCGCCGTGGTGTGGTGTGCACGTGTTTTGATCACTAATCAAACTTTGTGACAATTGTTTGCGTTACTAAAGATTCTAATTCTGAACTAGAATAAGACGACAATTAGTAATAGCAGACCAGTGTGGTGGTTGTTTGTAGGATGTGCGAGGTGGCCGTCGTTTGCGCGCGTGACTGTTGGCAATTAGTTATCATTTCGCACATAAGAATAACTTGGATTTGTAATTAATTCCTGCAAATGGACAACTTTGATGGCCAGACAAAAATTTGGTGAGTACACGAATAGAGTTTGCAATATCTCTAGCTGAAGTTTTCGATACGCGTGTATTTGATGGCAAGTTTTTACTACCGAATTTACTTGCTGTCGATAATTTTTTAATGTATCTGTTATTATTGTTGTCAATAAAACACAATGTAAAATTATAATTTCATGCATATTTATTTGTGGTATCCTCTTTGTCGTTTTCAGTATTGACGTCTTAAGTCACATTGCGTAAAAATCTTATGTGCGTGGAGCGAGTGCAACATAGTTAAGTTGTGTTGTTGTTTTTAAAAAGTTGAATGAAGTAGATACATAAATAGAAGAATCAAATATTAATAATAAAAACACTCGGTGGTCGAGTGGGTACGTGCACCTGCTAGCATGCTAGTAGACACGGATCGAATCTCAGGTGTAGAAGGCATTTTTCTCAAATATAAAAATAACAGGTGAAATTTGGGTTGCATATATAAATTGCTACGAAATATAAGAGAAATTGAAATACAAGTGAAGGCAATAAGAAAAGTAAGAAAGTAGGTAGAGAACAGAGAAATAGAAATAGAAGAAGAAGATGAAGGAGTAGTAGAGAAGAGAAGAAGAGATGGCAGAAGGAAGAGTAGAGAAAAGAGGAGAAGATAGAAGAAAGAGAACAGGGAGTAGATGAGATTTTTAAAATTTTTGGCACGTGTCGTGATAAGACAGTCTACGGTCGATCTCCCAGAGCGCCCACTGCTTCGATCCGTCCATTGCTCCCGGCCCAACCTACAGCTACGATGTCTCTGCGCTTCATCCCCGAAATTATCAGGCATATCAACAATTTTTATGGTGGGGGATCACCCCCAGAGAGAGGGAACTCCTTATAAGGACATCCTTTTAAGAACTTGTAAAAATATTTATAATTTTTAAGTCGCCTCAGGAGAGGGGACACTTAAAAATATTCTTACAAGTTCTGACCTGTAGCTGAAATGAAAGATGGAGTACACAAATCATGCATGATACCTTAACAATTTTTATAGTGGGGATCATCCCCCGAGTGGGAAAACTCCTTATAAGAATTTGTAGAGATATTTCTAAGTGTCGACGCTCTAAGGACCGACCACAACACTAGAAATACTTTACAAGTTGTAACCTGTACCTGAAATGATGGAAGGAAGGGGTGCACAAGTCATAACACACAGCCATTGACTTTAACATTTCTTTATTAACAAACTAAATACAATATAACTTTAGAATTTGCAATTTCAATACCTACAAAATACGTGACGTCATTTTAAAGCATGTTTATCATCTGCATAGCGGCCATATGCATGGCTATCAAATTACAAAATATAACACTAGAAAATAGTAAATTGTGCCCTGTTTTCGCATGACATCAGTGGAAAATTATATACAGGGTGTTATCGAAAGAAAATCTTCAATTCAAAAAGAAAATCACCCCAAAACAATAAATATTGTCAATTTTTGGCTGGGCATAAAGGAAAATTTACATACCGAGTGTTGTCAAAAAAAATCTTCACCTGAAAAAGAAAATCGCCCCAAAACAATATAATTATGCTCATTTTTCGCAGTGCATTAAAAAAATTTATATACAGGGTGATACAAAATCAAAATTGAATGTTTTATTACCTGTTTTCTACTGTTTACCTAGGGGAAGTGATAAGTACGTGAATAAAAACATAATAAATAATATAATTGCTAATAATTATAAATGTATTAAACACATTTTAAAGAAATATAAAATTCAGATCTCTTAAACACACAAATTAGCACAGACAGAATTATGAATACAAAAGCAAAAAGAAGGCACGAAAAAATCCCGAATGAGTGCGAATGGGCAGCCGACGGAACGCGACAATATTCCAATACTTGTATTCCAAAGGTTAATATATGCAACCATGTGACGACTATGCTATGTATTAAAATGTTAACTAATTTTTCGGATCGTTTTTCCTTATAAGGTTGGTAATTGTAATAGAATATTGTTTTTATATTACATACGTTTTTGCAGATGAAATATTCCATACGATGCACAAATGATGTTTATTCAAATTAATAATTAAATGAATATACGAAACAAGCCTGAGTATTTCTTAGCCGACGGAAGATATCCGACGGCCGACGGAAAACACGTGGTGCGTACGTTGTAAAACCACGAATTTCTTGATTCCATGTGCGATAATTCATTAACTATAGGCCGCACTTGTCTGTTAATTCTAAATCTTATCTTTGGTGACTGATTATTCAACTACCGGCTTAAAATCACAAGAAACGCGATAAGTCGCCATGAAGACCGCCGCGCAAGTAAACGCGTGCACACTACGCCGCAGCGCACGATCGACTAAGTAAGAAATGGAACAAACACTGCTGAGCGCATCGGATGCGCTGCAACGCAATAAAAACAAGTTGTTTGTGCACTAACACCGATAAGAGCCAAGAGTGCAAACTACGAGTATAAACTGTTCATGTTGTGGATACAGTTCAATACAATGGAAAGATTTTATATTCTGAACGTACCCTCTTATTCATATAAACAATGTATCCTACAATCCGGAATTGAATGCAGTCTATATGAAAAGGATAAAAGTCTATATGAAAAGGATATAGACTGCATTCAATTCCGGATTGTAGGATACATTGTTTATGTGAATAAGAGGGTTTTGGACATAATCGCAATTGAAAAATCTGGGAACAACAAGGCAAATCTCTTATCTTAGCTCCTTTAGCAACTATTTTTGAACTTTTACTTCACGTAATTAAAATATTTCATTATTCTGTTCTATAAAAAAATTTTGGAAGTTTTATAATCTTCAATCACGTGACGAGGGTGACGGTAAAAGTGACACCCATTCAGGGCATCGTACGAGGGTAGCGGTAGAAGTGACTCGTGTTCAGGGCACCGTATGAAGGTAGCGCAACGAGTACTACAGCGTACACACACAAATTTCAATATAACGCGCGTTACGGAATTTTCTCGCAATAAATTTCGATACAGGGAAATAAAGAATTAAATTCCGCATCTTGGAAAATTATTCCGAACTTAGTTTATGTTGAAGCGCGCCGACTGCGAGCGTAGCGTCCGTTCCGACGGCTGTCGTCGAGAGGATCAAGAGTGCGGAGATAGTCGCGATCAAGAGTGCGAGGATAGTCGCGATCAAGAGTGCGTCTGACATATACGAGTTGTAGTTTCAAAATTTAGATTATTAAAAAGTAATGAAAAATTGAAATTCGATTTGTGTAATTCTGATTTCTTATGCTGGCTGAGTGCCAGATTTTAAATAAAATATTTAAGTGATACTTGCTTAAGTAATCTGCAGATAATAAATAAGTTTTGCATTCTTGATGATTTTTATAATTAACTATTAGAATTAATAAAAAAAATGTTAGTTATATTCATAAAAGAATTGAATAATATTTGCTTAAATTTACGATGCTAATATAACAAATAGCAACGTTGTGTTTTGATTCCACAAAATAAAGATTCGATACCTACAGGTAAACAAACTTACCTATCTCTTGCACGAAATCGCGTGATCGCACACGGACACGATGTGCACTCACTACCACTAACACGGAATATTTAACGCGAAAACATGCATCGTAGTGCCATCTAACCGACTATCTAGTAATGGCAGACTTAAATTTAAAACACATTTTATCAAATATGCAACAAAGTTGATATTGCATGAAAATGTCAGCCTTAACCAATTTAGTAATGCCTATCAAAACGCAATATATCTTTAATTTATATTCTATGGTACAACAAAATTATATTATATTCACACATCGGAGAAAAACAAACATTCTGTGCGGAGTATCGAAACGGTGAGATAAAAATTACTTACTCAAGCAGGAAGGGACCTCTTAAGAACGGGGAACAACATGGCAATCAATCCAAGTGATCTAGCGACCGTTGTCACACAATAACCGACAATAAAACCGCAGCATTCTTGTAATTTCAAATGTAAACATCAAAAGCGAGCAAAAAATCATTTACGGACGTTAAACGCACTTTTAATTATTCACAAAACACAGCAGATGCATGTTACACGTCGATTGATGACCGAATATAATACAAATGTAGACTGTAGCGTGATCTACATTTATTTCATCGTCTGAGCTTTGTGGTTGATCCGTCAAGGATGTTTAGTCTACTACATTTTCGTACTACCATTGTATTTCAATACATTTGTTTAGTCTGAACGAAACAGAGTAACCCCTTGTAGTCTGGGTACGAATCCCTTAATTCAAATCATTTGACATATTTATACCTATCCGGCGGTAATAATTGCCGAGACCGTCTGGCCGACGTCTCGCCCTATTCACTATAGCTAATGTACAAACACAAAGACCAGACGATGAAAAATTGGGATATAAAAGGGACACCTCCGGCTCGGGGAGTCAGAACAGTTCGTGAATTCTTCAAGTTCGTTTGGTAAAGAAGCAAGTACAATATTAACGCACACCAAAGTGGTGACCCCGACGTGATTGAAATTTCTTTGTGTGTGTGTCCAAAAGCAACTAGCTCAAAGCCAAGATGTCTCCTAAAAACAGCACCAGCAGCACAAGCAGCAGCAACGATACTCCAGCCCACTCATCAGCAGTAAGCATCCACCTCCCGGCATTCAACAGTCAAGACTTAGAATTATGGTTTGCCCAAGTGGAAATGCTGTTTGATATAAACGGGTGCAACGACGAAGGGAAACGTTTTACATCCGTGGTGGTGGCGCTCGGCCCCCAAGAAGCAGCAGAGATGAGAGATGTGATCATCAATCGACCGGCAACATCACCGTACACAACTCTCAAAATGGAGCTCCAAAAACGCATTGGCGCTTCACAACAAAAGAAGACGATGCAACTTCTCGAGCGCGAAGAACTTGGGGATCGAAAACCTTCGCAGTTTGTTCGCCATCTTCGCCACCTAGATCCAACAGCCTCGGATTCAATCCTTCGTTCGCTCCTACTCGCAGCTATGCCGGCAAATCTACAATCGTCGCTGGCACCTTTTTTGAATCGCTCCCTGGAAGACCTTCTCGAATTTGCCGACTGCTCTCATGATGCTTTCTCGCGAGAGCCTACCACACGACACGTAGTTGCCGCTACAACCTCGTGGGAAAATGATCGGATGATGCGTATGGAAAATTCATTATCCATGCTGCAAAAAGAAGTTGCCGACCTTACCCAACAAATACGAGAACTCCACACCGCCTCATCACGGCAGAGCAGATTCCGCAATAGATCGAACAGCCAACCAAGATCCAAATCCAAGGAACCGGGTGTGTGCTGGTATCATCGAAAGTTTGGGAACAAATCTACAAGATGCACAACACCTTGCACTTTCGCCCAGGGAAACGACGCGGGCAGTCGTTAGATCAGGCGAACAGCGACCACAGCCCACAATTTTCTCGCCGCATATTCCTGCTAGATCGTAACTCCGGTAAGAATTTTTTAGTAGATACGGGCGCGGATATTAGCGTATGGCCTAGAAGATTCGTAGATGGACCTCGGGCGGAGACCGACTACGACTTGTCTGCTGCTAACGGTACGTGCATCAAAACGTTCGGCACAAAAACAATGGCAGTGAATTTCGGACTTCGTCGCGAGTTTTGTTGGTGTTTTATTGTGGCAGACATCACCTATCCTATCTTAGGCATAGACTTTTTGGAACATTTTAATCTAATCTTGGACATCAAACAAAAGTGCGTGAAAGACTCATCAACAAATATTGTGTCAAACGGTCGCGTAGCTCAGTGCGATACCCCATCGGTTAAATTAGTGACTTCAGTGGAAAATACACCGTATGCTACGTTGTTAATGAAATTCCCACAGTTGATGCGACCTGGTGGTAGCCAATGCGAGGTAAAACACAATACCCGTCACTACATAAAAATCCAGCCAGGACCTCCAGTGGCGCACAAACCACGACGACTTGCACCAGACCGATTAGCCGCCGCCAGGGCAGAATTCGACGTCATGGTAAAACTCGGCATCGCACGACCATCCAGCAGCAGTTGGGCAGCTCCACTTCATCTAGTGCCCAAACCCGACAATTCATGGAGGCCGTGTGGTGACTATCGTGGTCTCAACGCACGCACCGAACCGGACCTTTATCCCGTACGGCATCTGCAGGATTATTCGCACGCGCTGGCAGGAAAATCTGTTTTTTCTACGATAGATTTAGTACGTGCGTTTAATCAAATCCCAGTTGCTGAGGAAGACATTCCAAAGACAGCAATAATTACTCCTTTTGGTTTGTACGAATTTACATACATGACATTTGGGTTACGTAACGCTGCGCAAACATTCCAACGATTCATGGACGAAGTACTCCGGGGGTTGGATTTTTGCTTTGTCTACATTGATGATATTCTTGTCGCATCAGAAAATGAAGAACAACATCTGACGCACCTCGAGACACTTTTCAAGCGTTTATCGGACTATGGTATTGTCATCAACGCGCAAAAGTGCAGATTCGGAAAAGCTGAAGTGGTATTTCTCGGGTACCAGGTCACCAAGAATG